GGGAGAACGCATGCGATCATTTCAAAGTTCGGCTGCCTGAGGCAGAATGCCTTGCCTCTCAATGGAGTATAACTTTACAGGAAGCCACTGCGAGAATAACGTAAAGTATTAAATATTTTTTTTTATTGCAAATGAAACGCTGAGCGCTGCGAGGGAAACATAAATCGGACATAATTTCTGATCGACATTATAACGTTTATTTTTCCGTGGCGACAATTTTGCGGGAAAAATGACGATATTGACAAGGCGGAGGAGAATCGCCCAATTAAAACCAGGAGAGAGAGAAAAAAATGGATAAAAAATAAACCAGTTTATCGCCACTGTATGTGGATAGAGAGTACACGCATTTTACCAGAGCGGAACTGCGTGTCAAATGCCTGCGATTGGTGTAACTCTGCAATTACCACCTGTAACAGCATCCGCGAATAAACGACAAACATGAATCGAAAAATTCGTTGTTGTCGGACACGATTGCGCGATCATAACCGTCGTTACCGTTGCTAGTGATCACGTTATCGATCGTTATTATCCCACATAGCAGTTACGAACATATTATTCCACATATACGTGCGTGCGCTTACACTCCCTGACGGGAGATCCGACTAGAAAATCGAACTAATGATGACGCTCTAATTTCGTTAATTGTACTAATTGCCGTTAAAATAAAAGCTATTGCTGATAACGTCGAGTTGCTCGAAGTAAAACCTCTCTCTATCTATCTTCCCCTTCTCTTTCTTTCTCTACCGGAAAAATGAACGAGAGAGAGAGAGAGAGAGAGAGAGAGAGGACACACCTTCGAGATGCACTGCCGCGTGCGCGCGCTCATTACCGGCGCGGGCGCAATTATCGGATCGTTGTCGTGAGACGCCTGCTAAAACGTGGCCGTTTCGCACACGTGAACGCGATATGGTTTATTTCGGAGGAGCGAGGGCGCGCGAGAGCAGACGTCGGCGGTCTCGCGATATTTTCGAGGAGGAGCAGGTAGAGAAAGAGGAGAAGAAATAATACCGCGGGATAGATAATCATGAAGTAGTTCTCCATTTCGTGTCGATGTAAGTTTTAACAAGGTTGTCGCGCGCGTGCTGCGCTGTTTAAATTAATTAACGAAGATGCAAGGAAGAGGGAAGGACAAACTCACATTCTCGCACGAAAATATAGCGTTTTTCTGATAATTAACTCTACGAGCGAACACTCTCTTCCTCTCCCCACCCCCCTCTTCCGCCGCTTTCACTAACACGCATATTTTTATCGACTAATTATAGAACGGTGCGCTCACTTAGGTTTTATCAATGCAGAAAATCGGACACGTGCGACACCCTGAGAATATAATGCAGTTGCAACGCGTCGCGAGCATACTTCGCGCGCTCGCGAAGAGAGAATATCTCGGCAGTTTCGTGTTAACGAAATAACAATGATATCTCAAGAAAGATATTATTTTCACTTTCAACAAGAGGTGCAATCGTGCTCGCGAGTACACTACCCGTGTGTATTTGTCTGTGTTATCCGGCAAGTTTGTGCTATGCGCAATAAACACGCAATGTTAAGCTTTTCTACGTGAGCGCATTACCACGAGGCGCCGTTTAGACGTGTATAGGTATTTACGATGTAAGACGCGCCACGAGGGCTGCCCTAATTATTCTCCTAATCCAGCTGATTGCAATCGATACATAACCATTAGACGGGAATCATTAGCTGTACAATCAAAAGATTTATCACACTTGCGGGCGATTTTCCTCGCGATTTCGCCGCCAAAGTTCGATACAATTTGCATCTACAATTTCCCGCGTTACATTTTGATGATTGATTTGTAGTCTGAATATTATAAAATATATATCTTATAATAAGGTACGCGGGTCATCGGTAGCCCATGGAAAGTTACGTGAAATTGACACGACACTCAATAAGTTAACAAGGAAATATAATCATATTTTCGTATTTGTAATATTGTATATATATGTCTATCTCAACTCAGTTTCGAATTAGCATTTAGGTAGTGAAATAAACATATAATTTTAATTTAATTTTGCTTGGTAAATATGAAATTTATGAACGGCCTCTTTGATGCGCTAATGAAGAAAATACTGCATTAATACATTCTTAAGAGTGAGTGCTTTCGCGCGGACATTGTGATTTATTCTCCAGCCGGGCCGCATCTCGAGCTGTCCGTTATTCGGATCCACGTAGTGGACTAATTACAGCGGTGCGGTAAATCACGGAAGAGGACCCATGAAATTGCATCCGATGCGTGCGTGCATGCGGATCCCGAGAGCGCGATCGACGCGGTGAAATTATCGTCGATCCTCGCGAATCCTGATGACCTAAGTATCGCACGAAACGTCCATCAGGATTAACGCGATCGTGCGTTCGTTACGTTGAGCCCGTTACCGGCGGATTAAGGGCCTCGCGAAATGGCGAGGATAATTCGCCGATACGTCCTTTTAGTTCACCTGTCGATACGATGTTACTCGGGCGGTTCTCTCTCTTTTCCTCCCTCTTTTCATCGTTACCCGCCCGCGGCTTGCGTCTAAATCCCCGTATAACGCTCGCGCCCGACAAATAGCGATCACTCGCTCGGGGAAAGTAGATTACCGAGATTCTTCGCGATGCACAACGGTGGATCCTGACGATCGCAAGGAAACGTACGGAAGAGTTCCTCACGGATTTCGACGGCTTTTGAATGTTGTAGACCAGCTAAAATTGAAAGAGACATTTTTTATTGCCGATTTGCCGTACATTTCGGGATTTAAATAATAACCCGTTGAAAATAATTCGGTCGTTTCAACCTCTAAACATGTGAGAAAACACGTGTAAAAAATATGTGTCATTCCTATGTTTCCTTGTGTTTTAATGTTAAACACAATTCTATAAGAATACAAGGCCTTTAATAGCCAAAAGCCGGATGTATGCGCGAGAGATTGATTATAGTACGCAATCAAATGCATAATCCCTTTTTCACATGTGTTTTTGCCCCACGTGAGAAAAACATCCATGAGTTCCCATGATGAGTATCAACTTTGCATGTTATCTTCTATCATATCATTGGCCTCTTTCGTGTTTAAAATTTGCACTTCTAGATACCTTCGTAACCGCTATTTTCGAAATCAGTGATACAAAAGGTTTTAGATTCATATGAACATGGTTCACTTGGTTCTCCCTTTTGCCTCTGGCGCTTCACTATGTTTTATACGCGGTTAATTTGCAAAATACACTGAAAAATGTCCAAACTGTAACGAACGGATGTTTGCAAATAATTACTGTTTATAGTAAATTTCGCGCACCTGGCCATATTATTAGACGCACTTTGATTTTTTTTAATAAAATACAAGTTAAATGAAGAAAAAAAGCTACTCATTCTATATTTACTCGATTATAATAATCTTTGTTGTCAATCAGCGCATCAGCAACCTTCTGAAGTGTCACCTGTTTTGCCCATAGTTTTTGTAAACAACATTAATATTTTTCACGCAAAAATGATTTTTTGCGTCGAATTTTAAAGACTTTGTATTCTTATGGAATTTTATTTGATGTTACGTCAGAGCGTTTGAATTTAAATTAATCGCAGTTTTAACGTTTTATCTCGATACGGACGTATGAAGATGCGAATTAAAAAGCTGCTTCTCGTAAGAGATGGAATATCGATATTAAATCGCCGAAGAGACAACTGTTATGAGTTGTTCAATCTGTGAACCCTTTGAATGGACTAAGCCGTATTAATATCCGAAATGGCCGCATTGTGCGCGCGTTTCCCTTTGTATTATAATCCTCTAAAATCGCGAAAGGAAGCGCTACACGAAAGGGAATTTTCATATAATCGCATCCCCGAGGATACATGCGTATAATGCGCGGGATGTTTCATATTATGATTACATTACATAAATGAATACGCAGAAACGCGCGAGCTGTGTACGACATACATTTTCATGATATGCGTTCCGTTACGCGCACAGGGAAAATTGAGAAAATCTTTCGGAGCTGCAGTACAGAAGTAGTTTACGCCGGCAGGGGATGTTCGTTGTCTCCCTGATTATTCGTTGAAGCAAGAATTCTGATCAACTCGCTCGAGTCTTCGTGCAATCGGTGGACGAAAGAATGTAACACTTTTATCTCGATGAACTTCAGTCAGTACACATCCTGTAGGAGGATTTATCTTCTCTCGAAATTACTATACGATATCATTCTTCTGAAAATGAAATTAAATGTTCGCGCATTTCACGACTGGCGTTGCAAATACACAACGACCACGATCGAATAATAGCGACGAGATTTCCAAAAAGGGATTTAATCGCGAATATTGTTTTCTCCGCGTGGATGAAGTTTTAGCGGAGTTTTGCCGTGGAAAATGCACGCTTCAAAGGGCGGAACGAATGAGCTTCTCATTGAACATTGCAAATTTCATAAACCCACGACGTGTGTCCACCCGCGCATATTTGCGGCGAATTGTTGCTGTCTTGCGCATACAGGCACGTTATGACCAGAGAAAAGCGGCCGCAGCGACCGTAAATCTGTAATTTTAGCTCGAACGACTGACGCGTAACGAACGTACACGTGGGATCACGGGAAGACTGCATAAACCACACTAGCAAATAGTAAATCAACTGCAAACGCGATTATGGCGGTGGATCGACATAAAGGATAATTCGCTCAGCTAAAGCGACGTGATTTGGCGTTGCAAGAGAGAGAATGAAGAGGAAAATTTTTTTCTGAACATTTTTTCGCATAATTAAAAAATTATTCCAGATATTCACAATAGATGAGAATGAAAAAAAGAATGATTTGAAAAGAAAATTGGTTAAAGTAATTAAAATTAAAGTGCGAAGAATATTCTACGAGACACGTTTAATACGGAAACGCGATATAAAAACAACACGCAATATGTAGTTACGTGGAACGGTTGCGCAATACGCAATTACATAGAACGGTGAAAACGCAGTTACGTAAAAAAAAAAAAACGGTCCGGAACAGATCGTGTTTTACGGACAGCGATATCTTTTGATTTGCAGGTGACGAATTTCAGTATCGAACATCTGGCCGCTCGTCCTGAGGGACACATAGACCAGAAGTAAGGATGGCCTTTCACTGGGATAAGCTTTCGCCAACTGAATTCCAACAACTCCAAGACTTGGCAGCTTGTAAGTAAGAAAAAGAAGAAAAGAGTAAAATAGCACGACCGGTCGAATAAGAGAAAAAGAGGGAGGAGAATACGCGTCGGAGAATCGCTTCTGAATTTTTTACAGGCTATAAATCCTAAAACACTCGTGTTGTTAATAAAGTTTAACGAACCTCCGTTAACTAATCTACTATCGGGCGGAATTTAAAACCCGCGCACGCTTTATTCTCTCTATTGCTGGCCAAGTGATGGAATGCGCAAATAGTGCACTATTTCTGCACTAATCATGCATCCTGATGAATACGACTGGATTTGGAGTTTTTCTTAATCATGGAGGATATTTCATAGCGGAACATCGTTTGTATGCAGCTAGGAAGGCTATTAATGGTTGACCATGTATAGAGGCTTCTTTAATTAATAACTCAAAAATTTGTGTGTTATTTGGAAAATGGTAAAGGACTTTTTTGTTCAGAGTAGCAGTAATCTACAAGCATATCGTCGATACACCAGGGCGGAATTCCGCCGTTAATCATTCGCTCGGCCAAATACCTCTCTGTCAATCGGCCCGAAAATAGTAGCTGTCCAAAAATACCCAGTCAGTTAAGTGCATTATGACGTCGATACAGTAAATTAGGCCTCCTGTTATTAGTCAATTTATCGTCGTTGTTTCTTCTGCAAACAGTAGAATCCTAGACGGTCGCGATCAATCGCCCGTCACCCAGCGCGTCGTCTAATCTACCAACGAAAAAGTTGCCCCGTGTCGTTACAACATCGGACAACGAGAAATAATTGATTGATAAACCTGTTTTAATTTGTTCGTTGGAAAAAATGTTGTATTCGCGCAAGGTCTTGTCCTTTGAGGAAGTTCCGGCTCGCTTTTTTTTAAGTGACGGTGATTTTCGAATAATTTCCATAGTATCGCAACAATTGTCGCTTCGCCTCGCAACTGAGGACTGAACACAAGGAACGATCGAACTGTTAATTGCTTTTCAGATTCCACGCGGAAACTCCAGGATATTCTGGTCGAATTTTGCGGGAGCAACACGACATCGACGGGCGTGGCCAAATATCATCCGGATGGAGTGAGTCATAAGAGAACATATTTTAGCCGTAACTGATAATAAGCAAATATCTAAAATACGACGAGAGAAATCACCTAACATCGCGAAAAGAATCTTCCTGGAATAATATTATCGCGTTATTCTTTAACCGCGCGCCGTGATATCTCGCCAAGTAAACGTCGATTTGCTTTCGAAAAGTTCAGCTGCGTGTGTGTAATGCGAAAACGATTTTGTTGTCGTTTACCGTCTCCCAGGTGCACTTTAGCCTTTCTACAAAATGAAATTGAACGATCGACGCACTCCCGGAAGTGCGCTCGAGCGACAAACATCTGCTTAAGGTATACGGATCTTCCACGACGTTTACGTGGAAAGACAATAGGACGGCGGCGAAAACACCGGAGATGCAATGATCGATTCGTAATAAATGATACACGGAAAAAGTATTGTAATAATAATAAGATTTTAGCAAACTTGAACTATATTATGGTGAAAATTATGATCTTTTTACTTAAAAATACGTCTTTTATCAAAGAACTGTTGTAATTACTAAAATTGTTTATTACATTACGTAAAAGATTTTATTATGATGAAATAGATCTTTTATAAGTTTCGTGTATTCACTTTTAGTATAGATGTAGTATAAAATATTACGTTATAACTAACGTTATACGTTATAACAAATTTTACATTACTAATGTACAGTAAAGTTATAAATCATTAGATTGCACTTGTAACTACTATTTGTAGTATCTCCATAACACATGAATCTTTCTTGCCGGCGGATCCTTCTTCAGACTTCTCTGAAGCCGTCTACTTTTGGGCGACCATCTCCGTTCGAATATAACCGTGAATGTAGATACTGACTTGTCAGAAAATATAATGTCTGTCAAAAGCAGTGCAGAAGTGCACTAGAGATTAGAATAGACTTATCTATTTCGACGTGAAAACTTTGAAAGAGAAAATTGCAACAAACTTTAGGAAGGGTCGCATTAACAAAATGCTATTAATCTTGCGTAAATATGTACAGTGCTGAGTGAAATGTTAAATAACGAACAATGCACTCAAATGTGCATATATTCGTGTGATAATACGCACAAGTTTTTTTTGAGAAGAATGAGGAAGTATGTATAATTAAATGCTAAAATGTACCTTGAAAATGAAATGTTCAGAAATAAAAATGCCAGTTATTAACGCCATAACGGCGGGCTATTAAATAGATAATTCCATAAGCAATCACTAGAATTCGCCACGTAATAATGGAAATATTAAGAGAGGCCATGATACCACCTTCTCCTCTAACGATTTTACGTGCAGAAACAAGTAGAAAGTAAATAACACAATGATTTCGTACGCGATGCTCTATTTGTAAGAAAAGCAATTCTGTATGTAAAATAAAGCATCGTACGAAATTATTCCATCATATATATTCTATTTGCTTTTGCATGTATAATAGTTATCTTTCTGCTTGTATCATGAAACGCGCTGTGTAACACTAAAATTACTAGGAAAAAAAAACAGGAAGAATATACTTGATAATCATACCGTGTAAATACCATAACGCTACTATAATCACAAAAATCTGTTGTAAAAAGTACAATGCGAATGTTACAACATACATACACACTGAAAACGACCTGACTGTAATTCAAAAATTACTTTATTGACCGCGTAATTTTTGCAGAATGTATTGTGTAACTGTTAGTAATTTGCGCTACAATTTCGGCATAGTTTAAACTTTTTGCAAAAATATTGCGAAAAGAAATATAATTTGGATATATTCTTTGCAACTGGTATATTTTTTCCGTGTAAAGCTCGATTTTAGTAAACTCACGATTTTGCGTTTAATAATCAGACTGCTGCTCCTCGATGAATTTTTCATCGCACGGTCATTTCCGCATTCTGGAAGAAAGCAGCTTTCCGTCGTTGTATGTATGCGCGGAGTCAGATCAGTCATGTGAACGTGTGCAGTTTATATCTTGGATGAGAAGTATAGGTAAGAGTAGATAGTATAATACTGCGTCCACAGCGGGAGGACGTTCATCATAAAATCGCAAAATATTCCCGCTAGTGTAACATCCAGAACACATACGGCTCTCGCGGACAGGTGGAAGTTATTGCGTGAGGGACGACTGAGAGGAGGCAGAGAGAGAGAGAGAACCGTGAGAGAGTTTTCGTTAACGATCGACTTGAGTTCCTTGTGGCATTGCATAGGCACGCGAGCTCGTTGTCGCGCGAAAATTTTCCTTTTCTTTTTAAGCGAAATAAGATCTCCTTGGTTCGTAATTGTACATCATAAAAGAGATCGACGAGAAATGATGAGATAAAGATAAAGGGAATGACACGATGAATTAATTGGTATGGATAAAATATTTGTTCAAATCACGAAAAGATTTCGCGAAAAAAATTGAGGAGGAGACGACAAAGCTGTTATCGCGGTTGACACAATAACGGATAATGTTTTCCCTCCGGTCAATGCATAGACGTCGGCTTGAAAGACGAATATACCATCGTTTCGCGATAACGATCCTTTAGACGAACCTTACACCCACCACAGTGTGTATTCAGTCTCGCTTCATGACGGCTGTCTCTAATGATCGGGACAAGAGCGATTACGATCTCATTTCCTTTAATTCTCCGTTTTATCTACTTTATCCTATTCCTTCGCATTGTTAAATTGCATTCGTGGAGACAAAAAGATTCACGTTCTCGATGATCGGAGAGCGAAGAGGAAACTCCGTGTCGAAATTCAATACTTTGAAGCTTTTAGAGATAATTTATATCTACTTAGATGGTCTAATATAAACCTACTTTGACGACACTCCCTGGAACTTTTAATTCTACAGATAATTTCTAATACTATCTTGAACAACCCATTTTGACGTTGCCGAAATTTTACTTCTACATTAAGTCTATTCGATTCTAAATTAAGTCTCCAAATGGAGAAAACTTTCTATTTAGTGTGCCTTTGAAAAATTAATGTAAAACTAATTTGAAAAAAAACAGTGAAAAACGAAAATTTAAGATATCATCGGGCTCAAAGTAGAAGTAAATTATCTCGAGTCGAAATTTTACATCAAATCTAGTTTTACATTAAATCTTCAAAGGGGCACTATTGTGCTCCTTTGGTGCTACAAATGGTGAAGTCGTATTGCCGTTTTTTCCATTTGAAGATTTAATGTAGAACTAAAATTGAGGCTCTGGAGAAATTTCTCGACTCGGATAAATTTCTTCCTTACTTATCTCCTTTTTCTCGCTTCTTTACTCGTTTAATCCAAGTATTACCATAAAAAAAAAAAAATCTTTCGATACATCGAGTTCAATAGAGAAGCGTTATTTATATCCAGCACACTACTTTCGATCTTGTCATTTTCTTTTCATCGATTGTGACACAAGTTCAAAGTAATTCATCCTCGGCGGCCGTTTAATTCTAAAATACACTCAAAAGCTCAACAACTACACTGTGTTATTCCCAAATGAATAAAGCCATTCGCCCGTCGTTCTTTTACGATATTATTAGTATCGCGGTCCGTGAAAAATCGGCTCTCGATAATAAGCCATTTATCGCGTCGTAACGCATAAAAGTGGCTTAAACGTTTATATATTACGTTTATTTCCGTCTAGATTGCCGAACTTCAATAAATGCTTGAGTTACAACAGGTCGCAGAGAAGGCGGCTGACCTGCAGCGGTCATGGTAATTTTGTGGCGCGCTTCAAGATAGTCCCTTTGAGCGATCTAAATTACTTTCTTCTATGTCGCCGGCGTCTTTCCGCAAATTCCGATGGCGCTTTCAAGTCGGCAAGTGAATTTACCGCCTCCACGCCATCGACATAATCCACCGCCCTTGTTTGATATTCTCACGCGGGCCGAGGAATGTAAGAACGGTGATAATGAAATTCCGAGACATACATTAACACTCATACGTGTGTGATTATTTTCGATCCTTTTGCATAAAACCACGACGAAATTTTTTGATTTTATATTTCTTCATCCTCGTGAGCGTTCTTTGCGCAAATGGGAAGAAGATGGACCGCCCGTGATGATGCATTGAACATCAGCGCGTTGCGAAAATCACCGGCCGGAACTCATCGTGCACGTAAATCTCATTATTCTCATTAAGAGTGCTCAAGGACCCGTTTCGTCCTACCGTACATACAGGACGGTGAAAATCCATTAAGGCCGGGTAATCGTCGCGAAAAAGACTCCGCGAAGTCGGTGCAGTCGGTGGCACCACTTATTCGCTCGGCGACGAGTACCACTCGACTATCGTAAACATCGGGCTACTATGAAAGTATCGTCGACTTTTGTGTGCCAACCGCGTATAAATAAAACTGTCGATTAATTTCCGGTAAGAGGCAGTTTCTGACTCTCCCTATCTCTCTCTCTCTCTCTCCCTCTTTCGCGTCTCTTGAACCTTCGACGAGATACGTGAAGCTCTGTTGAAACTTTTTGATACTATTCCTTTTGCAAGCAACTCGTATCGAAATTTGGCCAGACATCTGTTTTGTAATGTTCATGCTTCCCAATAAACATTATTATTATGATTCGTACAGTGTAATTTATTCTATAGACATGTTTTCCAACTCTATTATTTTTAGAGATTTTTCTAAATTAATTTTTAGATGAGATTTTTAACATTCTATTGTACAGGGAAAAAATTTAACGACGTTCTCGTATATCCGCTCCTTGAAACGTTTGGAAATCCATTACCTTCGTTCCTCCGCGCGTGAGATGCGCGAGTTGGCAAAGTCACTGAAATCGGAAACGACCGTCAACATTTACAAACGTGGTCTGCACGGTGAGTTCTCTCCCGGGGGAGGGTGCGACAATCGATGCTGAAATGCTAAGAGACGGTTATGGGAGATCAAGAGGTCTAGAAATTCCCCGGTCGTAACCGAGAACTCACAATTGGAGATTCCATCGGGGGACAAATGTGCACCAGCGATGCGAGAGGTCACATTCAACCGCAAGTCCGTCACGTGAAGCGCAGCCGGTCACTCAGAAAGCCGATTTGTCGGGAGGG